CCAGAGGTAATATTTGCTAGTGATTTGAAAGGGTCAAATATATGGTATGTTGAACCATATTTTTTTGCCATTGGTCTGTTTCAATTTTCTTTTTCTTAGAAACTGACAAGGCAGAAACTTCAGTATTGAAAATCTTCTTTGCTTTCTGTCGTGCTTTGACACTTTCTTACCATGTTTTATGTTCCTGATGTATAATCTTCAAGTTCCCTGGATCAGGCTCAACTGAGCTTGGACAATTATATTTTTTTTTCAGTTGAACTCAGCTGTCATCTATTTCTCAGATACTCCTTTACTTACTTTTTCTACCTCTTTCATGCATCTGTACTTTATACTGCTTCACGAAGAATTGTATAATAGGAATTTTAACCCTTTCAACAGTTAATTTCCTAAATTACCTCAACTTCAAGTCATCTTCATATCACATTTCTCCTGATGAAGAACAGAAGTTGTTATAAGGAAAAAAGCCAACCTCTTTGCAGATCTCTCTCTCTCTCTTTTATTTTTAAATATTCTTAGCTAAAGAAAATATTTATAACTAGTCATTAGTGTCAGTCAATTTCGGAAGCTCAGTTTATCTTTACTTGCTCTCAGCATGTGATTTAGACAGCCTGTCCAGGCCTATAAATCAGGTCAACTCACAACTGTGAGGAACTGGAGATAATGAAACAATCAGGTAAATGGCAGATTCACGGAAGAACAGATACATAAACCTCTATTTACTTTGTCATAAAATTACCATCGTAGCATATGGATAACACCAAACACAAAAGCTGTAATCACCAAACAGAAGGAGAGTACCATTCTGCTAATGTTCCTGCAGTAGAAGGAACTCTCAATATTGCAGTTACCAGTCTTATATCTTTGGAATAGAAATAAACACAGAATGAATGGAAGAAAATTCAAGATGTTCAATCTTGCTATTAAATATATTTAGGTCTCTTTTTTTTTTTTTTTTTTTTTTAAAAATTTTTTTTTTTTTTTTTTAGCTAAACCTAGCAGTAGTTATATGAGAAAACTCCAAGGAGAACCATGCTGGGGGTGGTCATCTAGAAAATGTTTCATATAGCAAACTGGCTATAAGATACTCAAAATCTTAAAGCTGATTTTAGTTGTGGTGATTAACCTGCTTTGTCCCTACAATATTTTGGCCATCAGCAGTTTAGGTTAACATTCTGGGCAGAAAACTGATGACTCAAATTAATTTCTATCATGTCAGGTCAAGGGACAAGCTCAAGCAAAGCAACAGGACATACAGGCAAGGGTATTCAAAGAACATTTATATCATTAATGTAATCAGACACCGCAGTAGAATTTCCCAGGCATTGTGAATTCTCAGCATCTCTTTTTCTGAGCTTAAATATAAGTCAAGGGTATTTATTGTGTTTGGTCAGCAAAGTAATGCTCAAAACTTGATGGTGATTCAACTGTTGAAAATCCTGGAGACCACCTCTGCTGCAAAGAATATCAGAAAATAATTCCAAAGTAAAAGGCAGATGGTGCTTTATACATTAGACCATTTTTACTAAGTAAAACATTGTGCAACTTCTTTACTTCAAAGCTAATCTCCTTTAGTCATTCTACAACTCAATTTTTTAGATTTATTATGTTGTGCACTTTAAGGAAACCTTGAGAAGTTGACTGAGTAGTACCAAAGAGCTTACAGATACAGAAAAAAAAAAACAAGAACATAAACAACCACATCTGAATCAGAATAATTTCTTAATATGCAGCAAATTTCTGCCACATTTTAAGGAGCCACAAATCTGTAGAAACTTCCTGGATGTCAAATGAGCTCATCCTTTGTGTTTTCAAGTTCTGGGGTCTAAAATTGTGAAAATGGCACACTGTGTAGCTTCTCCATATGAGGTATACCTGCATGGCAGAGCTTTTTTAGATTCTTTGGAGTTTCAAACAGCAATACCATCTCAGTACCCCAGGGTACTCAAATCACAAAAAGCTTAAAAGTATCATTTCAACAAAATAATCTGAAATATCATTTATCTTTTTTTTTTTTTTCAATTAAAGCACAGCTGTTACATTCCCAGAACTTTGGGATTCTCTTAACCCTTCTCATGAAAAAATAGATTCTATATTTACATTATTATAAAGTAAACACAATGTGTATGCATCAACACACCAACAGTTAAAACAACTGAAAATACAAAATTTTACGACATACACACACACATATCTATACCTATTTGGAAATTGTTTAATAGAAGACAGTTTGGATAAAAAAAGGCCATAAGAAAACAATCTTCACTCCCACTCCTAATTTCCATTTCCTTTTAATTTTTTCCCCTTTTACTAAAATTCTTTTATATGAGAAAGCAAACAGTGCAGTTAGAAGTGCCACCACAGTGTGTCATGGGAGTTATGCTTCGGGCACCTCCTCCTTGCTCTCACTTCTCAGCGATTCATTCCCAGGCTAGACTGAATCTTTCTCATTTCCCTGATTACACATTTTCCCCAAATACCTAAGTTAATCAATTTTTCATTTCTCTCCAGTGAGCTATGAATATTTTAATTTAGGTTTGAGGATATAATATATACAAGAGACATGGGTGAAAAGCCTGATATAACTTTGTTGAGTATTGAATATTCATGTAATCCACTGTTCATCAGACTGATCATGCTTTGAAATTTTGTGTTAAATTGATGCAATAGTTAAAAACTGCAAAATTATTGTCTTAATACTGTTACTGTTGGACTGATAATAATGACTACTGACAATTCCTAAAAGAGCAAAATGAAATTGATTTCAGACGGTTGACTCTCTTTTTCCCATGATATTCAGTTTTTGTCAGCAGTTATTCTTCAGCATTCCGTGGAACATGGTAACCAAAGACATAAGTATGCACTGTTATATTACACTGGTTCAATTATG